CAGCCGGAGTGAGAAGTTAAGGTCCTAGAATCCATATCTCTTTCTGGTGTCTTCTAGTGGAATTAAAACTTTATTGTGGATGGACAGTTGTAAATTAAAAAGAAATAAGGCTTCATGTACTTAAGAATTGTAGTATTGAATCATAACTGTTCTTCATATAAGTTACAGTGTATTAAAGGATAAATACATAACCAATTCTTCCTTTCTTCTTTCTTCTATTATTCCTTCCTGCGGCTGACTGGCTGGCTGGCTTGCTTTCTTTCTTTCTTCTTTCTTTCTTTCTTTCTTTCTTTCTTTCTTTCTTTCTTTCTTTCTTTCTTCTTTCTTTTTTCTCTGGCTCTCCTTTTTTTCTTTCTTGTGGTATTTTGAAATAAGTTCTACCTTTATAATGCACGAAGGACTTCAATACACTTTGTAGCCCTAGATGGACTCAAACTCATAGTGATTCTGCTGGCTTGGCCTCCTGAGAGCCGATGAAACAGGTGTCAATCACCACATCGAATTCCACAACATTATTTTTAATATGTACTTTATTACCTCCTACTATAAGAAAGAACTCAATGCAGTTATAGGGACTGCCTATATCCATGTAGAAAACAGGAATATGAAATTATTTCTGGAGTAATAATGTGTTCTAAATAGCTGTACCTATGCATATTTGATGTACAAAGCAGAAAAAGTAGTTGTAAATCTCCAGAGGAACCTCATTCTGTTGATTTGGAATATACTGCTTTTTTCCATGAAGTTAGAAAGCATCTTTTAGAGAAAAGTAATTTTAATAATTTCTGTTGTAGACAGAAGATCTCAGAATTGAATACAACTTTTAATATTTAAAAGTTTTCTATATCTATCTATCTATCTATCTATCTATCTATCTATCATCTATCTAACCTTCACTAAAGCATGAATGTGTCTTATGAAATCTATTTTCTTGAAATTTAAAAATGGGCAATAAAATTTAATTAACAATGTCACATGGTCTATCTCTAGAATTTATTCATTTTACTTATCTGGGACATTATGTTTGTTGATTAGTAATTCCTTTATGTACCCTCGACCAAAGAATAGTAACAACCATTCACTCTGCTTTTTAACATATTTATAATGTGCATTATACCTATAAATGAAAATGTGTAGTATTTGTTTTTCTTTGTTTGCATATTTCAGTCAAAATCATATCCCTAAACTTCACCCACTGGATAATTTTTTGATGGGATCAGTAATATTCCATTGTATGTATATAACACATCCTCTTTATCCATTATCCTCAGTGAAAAATATTGCTTGCTCATATGGGTATAACTGCGGAAATGAACATGAAAAATCTAATATTGCTTGATAATCCAGGTTTCAGTTTTTTGCTGAAATACCCAAAAGTGAGATTGGTGGATGAGTTGGCAGTATTCTCTTTCTTGTAGAACATCTTCCAATTTTTTCTAAAGTGTGCATTCCTAAAGATAGTATTTGGGATTCCAGTTGCTCTCCATTTATGTGCCTCTTTCATCTTTGGCTCTTGATCATATTTCTTATTAAAACAATAGTTTTGCTGTGCCTTTCCCTTACCTTTACTGATGTTCAGCATGTTTTTGTATACCTGCTGGATACATGCATGTATTTCTTAGAGAATCCTATATTCAAATACTGAGCACACTTTCAACTTACTACTCATTTATTATTTTAAATTTTTAAACTGAGATTAGAAGTTCACTTCTTTATGATTTCAATATCTACAAAAGTCAAGATTTCAGCCTTTCTGTATTCCATTTATCTACATCTTTTGCATTTTCATGTATTTCATGAATCTTTTTGCCTTGCTAGTAATTTCACTTACCACATGCTTTACATAAAAATCAGCAATGAAGTAATGTCTACCTGACTCTATTCTAATACATGTTTATTAGTATTTTGTGTATAGCAGTTCTCAAATACAGTAATATTACTCAGTAATTTTCTTAATAGATGCAGTTTTTCTTTTTGTAATGTCGCAAATAAATCTTTCCATGAATAAAATAATTTTAGCTAGTTTTTTTATAAATAAATCCAGCTTGTTCTGTGGGTAATTTCTTCAGGACTAAAGGATGATACTACATCTATATTTATGATGTTCTTATTCACATTTGATGTTGAACTATACAGTTAGCATTTATACAGAATGGAAATTGGTGGTATTAAAATTAATTTAAAATGCTGACAAGTGAGATGAAAGGGCATGATGTAAAAACAAATGGCAAGCCCAGATTTTTCAAAAAGTGTAGGTGTCCTGTGCCACAGTAATTAGCATACTGATTATCCAAGTGGCAAACCTCATATTCAATTTTTCACTGAATCACTAATTTAAACATTCCTTAACATTTTTTCGTATCTGAGTGCTCTTTGATTTTCAGGCAAATTATGTGAGTCAGTGTATCAGACAGCTAGAAATGTTCATTAAATTTTCATTTCCTATATAGGACATCATGGCCACATTTGATGTAGCAGTAGTACAACATAAACACTATGTATTCAATGGTAGGTAGGACACCGTGGTCTAAAGATGAGAATAAGTTAGAAATTTCAGGAGCCTGGCCTGCAAGCTACTCGACGAGGGATGGCATACTCATCTCAGAGTCATCTGAGCCCTAGGGAATTTCTTTTGGGGGGCTATTCTGCCTTCAGTTACATAGTATGAAGAACTGTGAATTTTGCATCTTCTCATTCATTCTGTTTGAAAGTGTCTCCAAGATGCACCTCTCTACTCAGCAACAGGAGACTTGCAGACCTTCTGCTGAAGGAGTTCGTCAAGGTTTGGAGGTTCAAACTTTTAGCGTGTTCTCACTGAGTTTTGCAGTATGTGCACTGGCATAACCTATGTCTTGAGTTTCTGTAGACATTGTAATCAACCCCTGGAACTGTACAAGCATTGAACTTAATATAAATTCTCCCCCAATTACAAATGCCTATGCAGGGGCTGGTGAGATGGCTCAGTGGTCTAAAGCACCTACTTAGAGCAAGCTTAGCAAAGCACAAGGACCGCGGTTCAATCCCCCAGCACCACATGCCAGCCAGCCCCGCCCCCTGGTGGGCTGAGCTGGCCACACACACACACACACACACACAAATAAAAATTAAAAAAAAAAACAAATGCCTATGCATTTTAATCTACTCTGTAGTACTTGTATTTATTGTAACTTGTATTATTTTTTCCACAGGTAATGTATGTTTATGATACACAATTATTACATTCATCCTAGGGAATCTATCACACTTTGATCAATTTTAATTATTATTTCTTCTCTGGACCTTTCCTCTATTTACTTTCTCTGATTATATTTCTATCAATTTTTGTTATATTTACGATTTCCAAGTGGAGGAGCATAAATATCTCAAATCAAAAAAGATTCGGAGTACAATCTTCTGGATCCCAATGACAACGTCAGAGTCAAGATACACACCACTAAAAAGCCAAAACAACAACAAGAATAACACAAAAGTTGTGCTTCACTGCCATTTTTCTGGAAAGTGTCTTGTTCCACATCATTCCTTGTGCTTCTTGCCACACAGGTGAGTTTTACCCTGTACAGACACATGTTGCAAGTCATACATGTTACTAACATTAACACTTATTCCAAATATGTACACTGACTTCAATTAGGGTCATTAATGTGAAAAGCCTAAAGAAGCCATCTCTGTTTGTGAGTACACAGCTCAGTAGCAGTCCATAAATGGTAAGAAGTCATCTATGGAATGGGTAAAGGAACATATGCAACATGATCACTTGCCAAATTTCCCATCAGTCTCCTCCAGAGAACTACTGCAGAGGTTACAGTTCTCTTGCATATATTTGAAGAATGGAGCAATATAATATATCTATATCATCTCTCACACCAGATATACTACATCACTAATGTCTGCTTAATATGTTATATAAATGGCCTCAATGAAAATGCTTATTTTTGCTATTAATATGCCCTTCATGACAGTTGTAGTCACTCCTTAATTAATATTAATCATGCTATTAGTTGATAATGGTGTTTCATTCTATGGCATTAACTTCACTTAACTCTGTTATTGCATTGTTAATCGGCATGTGGATAATTCAGAGATTGAGGGTGCTGTGAGTCACAGTTAGTGCTACCATATAGAATGCATAGGTCTTGTCTCAGTGATGCATTTATGATTAATAGTTGATTAAATTAATAGAAATTAAATTATTATAGCATAAGTGACATATTATCAACTTATCAAGATGTTACTGAGCAATTTCCCAAAGTACTTGTACCTATTTTATACAAAGAAGTTCATATTTTTATTAAATATTTTATTCATATTTTTGCTAACTTTATTATTTCCTGCTTAGCATTCTGGATAGCATATGGTGGTAGCACACAGTGATCTCACTTGAGTTTCTCTGATTAATGAGGACATACAATAATTTCAGTATACTCAGTAGGAGCTAAATAACTTCATTTTCTTGAACTTAAGACGAAATAATTTTCCAATTTTTCATGTGTAATAAGAAATTAAAAGTTGAATGCTGGTGGTTTTTATTGGTCTGTTCTGTCTCTGTTCTATGTCATTATCCTTTTTTCTCTGTCATCTACACGTTGTATATGTTTGTATTTTAATAAAAATAGTTGTTACTTTTAATGTGATCTAACTTATTTCATCCATATGTTTAATGTATTTTTAAGAAATGATTTCATGTCCTGTATCACACAAGTAATTTTCATTAAAATGTTTTATATTTATCTTAAATATTTATATCAAAAATCTATATACCATTTAGATAACAATTGAGGATTTCTCTAGTGTATTTATAATTTAGCTGTTATTGTAAAAGTTAGAATTTAATTCTTTCCATATTCTCTTTTCTTCCTCTAGGTTACCAATGAATTCTGCTTTGTGATATCTTAATCCATGAAATGTGCAGCATATTCTCTCCATCTCTTCTTAGTTTTTGAAACCGTTCCTATACCATAAGAATACAACACCAAATTAATTTTTGGTGTCAAATCTCTACAATGAGTTTTGCTCAAAGAAATAATTGCCACTTTACTTTCAAAGAAATTTTAGAAGAAAATAAAAAAATAGCTTCAAGAGACTTAGCAATAGGAATAGTATTCTTGTTACAAACTGTGGTTGGAATTATGGGAAATTTTTCTCTACTTTACCATTATTTTTTCCTTAAGCATACAGAAAGAAAATTGAGGTCCATAGATTTGATAATGAGGCACCTGTTTATGGCTAATTCTTTACTCATTCTTTCAAAGGGACCCTCCCAGACAATGGTAGCCTTTGGGTTGAAACAACTATTCAGTGAATTTAGTTGCAGTCTTAACTTGTATGTCCTCAGAGTAGGCAGGGCTATGTCAATTTGTACCGTGTGCCTCTTGAGTGTCTTCCAGACCATCACAATCAGTCCCATGAACTCTTGTTGGAAGACTTTTAAAATAAAAGCTCCGAAGTACATTGGCTTCTCTGTATCACTCTGCTGGCTACTACAAATGGGGATAAATTTCATTTTTCCTCTGCATTCATTACAGGTATCTGGAAAATCAGAAATCAGAAACATCACAAAGAAAAGACAGCTACCATTCTGCACTGTTGTAGACTTTAGTACAGCCACTGTCTCAGTCTATATTGCATTAGTAGTATCCCCTGAGGTTTGTTTCATTGCGCTTACAATGTGGACAAGCGTCTATATGATTTTTGCCCTCTACAGACATAAAGAGCATGTTAAGCACATTCATAGCACTAATATTCCCTCCAGATCTCCTGAGTCAAAAGCCTCCAAAAGCATCTTTCTCCTGGTGAGCACTTTTGTATCATTTTACATCATCTCCTCCATCTTTCACATTTTTGCTGCCCTTTCAAAAAATCTCAGTTGGTGGTTGGTGAATATTTCTGGCCTCATTTCTGTGTTATTTCCAACTATCAGCCCCTTTCTAGTCATGAGCCAGGATTCCTCTCTGTCCATGTTCTGGTCTGCCTGGATAAAAAACAGAAAAATTCCCTCCTCTTACAAGAAATACATAGTTGTACATTTTGACAGTATTTTTTTATTTTGTGCCCCTCATTTAACTCCGAGAGGGAATACAGAAGTATAAGAAGAGCCTGCATATCGTAAGAAGACTGAGAGGCATTTCAGCTGGTTGACCATGGGGCCTCATGTGAATAATGAGGGTGGATAAAACAGTGTGAGCATTGGTTGATACACCCTGTCATTTTCTAATCCATCTGGTTTGAGTGTTTGTTGAAGCAAGTTAGATGCATTTACTGTTGGGTTGATTGATGAAATATTTACTGCTTTTTCTCAAGAGAATATGTTAAATATGAATTTAATGAAAAACTGGCAGGCAGATTTGGATTTGAATAGTACTTTCTAAGTGATTCTTGTCTCTTTTTGAGATATCTACAAGCTGAATTTTGTAAATTGAGCTTTCCTGGCTATTCATGAAGAAAAGTACTTTGTCAATGTCAACTGATTTGCTTGGTATGTAAGAACAGATGACACAGATGACCAAACATCAAATGGAGGGGGGACGGGGAAGAATTTAGAGGGTCTATGTGAATAGCATGCTTGATAACTGTGGAAACACTAAAATTACTTTAATAGAAGTCCTGCGTGTGATGAGGAATACCTTCAAATGGAAGTGAATGTATCAACCATTACTGATTGCTGTTAAAAATCTTGCTCCTATTCACTGTGAACATTTGTTGTAGTTCTTTTGAAATATTTATTTTTAAGCTACTTTTACATAATTTTATTGAAAATAGGATAGATATAAAGCTACTTTCTCTTAATTCAATAGGAAGAAAGATTTGTACTAATAGTGTTTGGAAAGGATATCATGCCTGCATCTTGTACTAAGAATAACCACTACGAAGTCAGCAATATGCAATGTACTAATTTGTGAAACTTTCCTACTAACCGATTTTGAAACTGTCTCAGAATGTGAAAAGAAAACAGAAAGAACAATTACATATTTTTACACAGAAATTTCAAAATCTAACCATATATAACATTGTTTCAAGACAGTCCTATGACATTTATTTCTTGTCTTTTGTTTTCTTTTATTGCCTTTTTAAAAATTTGCTTTAAAGAGATTATAGCAATAATCAATATTACTATAATCTCTATAACGTTAGAAGCAGTACACATTTAGAAGACCAAAAAGATGGGTATTTCAAGCATGATTTTAATATTACACATTGCTATCCTCAGCGCAGTTGCTCAATTCTCAGATATCAGCATATATAGTTAGGGTGGGAATTCTACCATTAACTGCTATTTTCAAGAACCTGATGGAGATTTAGGACCATTGTCTAAACCATAATTTTTACAAAAGTGTATGGTTTGCCCCTGCAATGTTTCCTTGTTCTCCATTCATTGTTTAATTCTTAAGTTCTCTCTTTCCATTTAACTGTGTCAAACCTTTCAATTTTTCTCTCGTCTTTTGAATTTTTACACTAGGGAGACAACACAATATTTACACATGTGGGTCTGATTTATTTGACTTATGAATATATCTTCAATTTACATCCATTTACCTCTGAAGGCATGGAGTTTATTTTTCTTTATAACTGGGTAATACACCATTTTAGATAAAAAAATCACTTCATTTTATCCACTCCTCAAGTGACAGGAATTTTGGTTGTTTCCAAGATTTGGCTATCAAAACCTGTGTGACTACAAATACAGGCACACACATATCACTATATATGATGTTTTCAGTTATTATGTGAAAATTCCCAGTAGGGGGATAGCTGAATTGAATGGTATTTCCAGTGCTAGATTTCCAAGGAGTCTCCACATTGATTTCCATAATGGTTGCAACAGTCTACATTCCCACCAGCAGTGGAGAAGGGTTCCTTTTTCCCAACAGCCTCTTCAACATTGGTTGTTGGTTGATTTCTTTATGATAGCCATTCTTTCTGAGGTGAGATGGTATCTCAGTGTTGTTTCAATTTGCATTTCACAGAAGGCTAGTGATGTGGACCAGTTTTTCATGTATTTATTTGATTCTTGTATTTCTTCCTCTGAGAAGTGTGTGCTTATCTGACATGCCCTAATGTTTTTTTAGTTCTTCATAAACTTTGGATAGAAGACCTTTGTCTATTGCTCATTAGTTATGATTTTTTGAAAATTTGTGGGTTGCCTTTTTACTCTACTGGTAAATTCTTTTGATGTACAAAAACTTCTCAGTAAGAGCAGGTGCCAGTTGTTGAACATTTCAAGTAATTTGCTTGAAGTTTGTTTTTTGTTCATGAACTGTTAGCCTACTCCTATGTCTTCAACATTTCCAGGTACTTTCTCTTCCAGGAGAATTACTGTTTTTGCTTAAATTTTTAGATCTTTAAACCATTTTGATTTTAGTTTTGTGCATGTTAATAAACCTGGGTCAAGTTTTAGTTCTCAGCATGTAGAAAACCAGTATTTACAGCACCATTTGTTAAAGAGGGAATTTTTCTTCCAATAAGCATGATTGGGCTCTTTGTCAAAGATAAGACAGCTGAGATTTTTTGTTTTCATCTACATCTTCAAATCTATCCATTGATTCTCAGGTCTATCTTTTTGGCAATACCATGCTGATTTTATCACCATCGCTTTGTAATATAATTTTAAGTTAGGAATTGTAATGCCTACTGCCTTGTCTTTGTTGCCCAGGATTGCCTTTGCTATACTAGGTCTTTTCCAGTTCCAAATAAATTTTAGGAATGATTCTTCTAGGTCTGTGAGGTATGCTGTTGGTATTTTGATAGGGATTGCATTCAAACGGTATAACAATTTTGGGAGTATGGCCATCTTAGCATGGAATATATTTCCATTTTCTGAAAGCCTCTACGATCTCTTATTTCAGAGTACTGTAATTTTCATAGAATAGATCTTTGACTTCTTTAGCTAGATTTATTCCTATACATTTCATTTTCCATGGTGGTATTATAAAGGTATTGTTTCTCTAATTTCCCTCTCTGTATTTGTTATCTCTGCAGAGGAATGTGATTGACTTTTGGGTGTTAACCTGGTATCTTGCTATGCTCCAGAATTTATGTATAAATTCTAGTAGCTTCTTGGTGGAGATTTTTGGTCTTCCAAGTAGAGTATAATGTCATCTGCAAATAATGATAGTTTAACTTTAATAATGATTGTTTACCTATTCTTATTCCTTTTATTTCTCTCTCTTGTCTAATAGCTCTAACTAATTATTCCAGAACTATATTGAGTAGGACTGGTTATAGAACACATTCTTGAGTTGTAATTGATGTAAGAGTAAAAGATTTTAGTTTTTCGTGATCCAGTCCTAGACCAGGCCCGGTGTGTGGGTGGGAGAGCTTCTGGCAATCCTGCGCCAGCAGGACCTGCTAGTCCAAGCCCAGGCACAGCGTGAGTGAGACTTTCTTCCACCCTCTTGGGAGCCCCCAACACTCTGCAGCACCCTCCCCCATCCTGCGCACCGTGTGAGAATTTCTGATGCATTCTGGGGACCCCCAGATCTAGTCCTAGCCCAGGACACGGTGAGTGTGTGGGAGAGCTTCCGACTACCCTGCGCCAATGGGAACTGCCAGTCCAAGCCTAGGCGCAGCATGGGTGAGACCCTGCTCCACCCCCTTAGGACCCGCCCACCACTTTGAAGCACCCTGCGCCCACCGCAAATGCCCAGTGAGATTTTTTTCTGCCGCTTTCTGGGGACCTCCAGATCCAGTTCTAGCCCAGGCCCAGTGAGTGTGTGGGAGAGCTTCCTCTCCCCCTACTTCACCTTGTCCCCTCCAGAATCAGCTCAGACCTGGCATAAAGGCCTGGGGTGAAACACTGCAGCTGCAATCCCTGCAGAGAGTGTAGGGGACAGAACCACCCAGCTAGTCCAGGAGCAGAACATCTTGCCAGAGGGGCACAACAGGTTCATTCCCAAGGGCAGCAACAGGAAAGAGCTGAGCACAGCAGACAGACCCAAGCCAGGCACAGCTGGATTAAACCAAACTTTGTAGATCTGCACCTGAATCTCAGTAGGTGCTGTAAATTTTGATAAGTTGTATTTGAATTGTACATATTGTTTAACTTCTTGCTTAATTTCACCTGTGACCCATTGGTTGGTGAGGAGGGTATTGTTTATTTTTCATATTTTTACGTTTTTGTGGTTTCTTTTGTCATTTATGTCCGTTTTCATTGTACTATGTTCAGATAATATGCATGGGCTGATTTCTGTTTTATTGCATATACTTCACCATGATGTATGGACTAGTATGTGGTCTATTTTAGAGAATGTCCCTGTGCAGGTGAAAAAAATGTGCTTTGAAGTGTGGTTGGGTGGAACACTCTGTGTATGTCCACTAAGTCTATTTGTTCAAAGTCCTAGTTCAGTTCTGGTACATCTTTGATAATTTTCTGTGTGCTAGACCTATCTTTTTGGGAAAGAGGGTGCCAAGTTCTCCTGTTAAGATTGTGGTATTGGATATTACATTGTTCATGTCCATTAGGGTTTGTCTTATATAGTTTTTTGCTGCCATGTTTGGTGCATACATATTCATTTCTCTTACCTCTTCCCCTTTAGTTTTTCACTAATCAGTATGTAGTGGTCTTCTTTATTTCTTTTGATCATTCTTAGTTTGAAGTTCAGACTGTCTGTGAATAGAATTGCTACCTCTGTTTTTTTCTGAGGTGCTGGGACATGTAGTATTTTTTCTTTCTTTATTTTTTTTCTTTTTTGTCTCATTAACTTTATTGAAAATTAATAATTATATAACATATTAAAATTATAGACAAGTATTGAAATGTGAAAGATGTAAGATGTAGACAGAGTGAGTTTTAGAGAAATATTTCTGAAATGAATGCATAGCAAGAGATTAATAATAGATTGCACATTGTTAATAAATTATTTACAAACTTAAGTGAATCTAACAATAAAAGTTCTCCAAAAATAAAAATGAAAAATTTACAGATCAGTCATATGATAGTTCACTCTTTGCCAAAATCAAGAAACTTACACTCATATAATTAGAATTCTCAAGGCAGAGAGTGGTAGGCAATAGATATTTAAAGATTTAAAATTTCTGAATTCAGTTGAAATTATAGTACCACATTTCCAGGAAAAATGAACATTTGGCACCA